GAAAACGATCGTTTGCCAACACGACTTTTCAATCGTAGAAATGGGATTTTTCGCTGAACAAGGGCAAATATAGTTGAATACCATAACTTATCTAACCTCAGCGAGTCTTGCATCTTGGTCTAGTGAGTATTTGAATCCTCGTCAACCGAATTGCTTGCCACTGCAAATGTAATCTCGACAGAAAGCTGACACGATTTTTTTTAATTATAAGAATGACATTGCTTTTAAGGTATGTAGCCAGTGAGGCTTCTATCGCATCAACTCACTTTGAAGACGGTTTGCATTAGAATCGCAAGAATAAATATGTCAGCCAATAAAAAATATAGGTACGAAAGCTAGGTCTGGGTAGACTTACCAGTGTAAGATAGCATGTACTTCTTGTGTATCCGAAGCCCTCATCAAACGATTGACTGAACTGTGGCTTAAGTAGCGACAATTCTTCGTTGTGTTTAAAGAACCCAGAAACAAACACAAAAAAATCTAATACACATTTCCACATTTAATGTCATCGAGACAAAGTTCGTTTTATTGGTGAACTAAGCAAACAATTTAAGACTGGGATGCACGAACACGAACGTCAGATGAGGAGACAAGCCGTGCCCTCTAATTCATCCTCTCCAGGCTACAAATTTGCTTTCGACCGCAGCAAATCAGATGACCGGAGGGAAGCTTGGAATTCCAACCACGATCCAGTCAGCGACTCTGAAACCCGCGAGAAGATCGAGGAGTCAAAAGTGGATTTTAATAGACTTCAAGAACTTCGGAGACGGCGTTTTACGCTATCAAGTGGTGCCAACTATTTCCTTAGATCTTCGTATAGACAGCTCTGCAGAAGTGCAATTCTTTCGATGCTACTGATTCCAGATAAACCTCCTGGGTGAAGTAAACAGTGAGACTCTTATTTTAGCAGATAATCCTAAATTATATTTTATTGCATTTTACTATTTTTGTTTGTGTGAAAACCAGAGAATAATTAGTTATTTAGCTTGTTTGAGATCGGAGGGAAATCCAACGTAATGAGAAGATTTGGTTTCGAGGTGTTTATGTGGCTAAAGGAGAAGGGTGCTCAAACACCGGAACATTTCGTTTACTATTCTGAACTTTCGAACTCGTGGCAGAAGTCCATCGCCAGGGATAGTAGCTGCAACAGAAAAGAGTGTTACACCAATTAAATCATTCCACATACCCCGATTGGGGAATACTTCATCTTTTTTGCTTCATACACATGCAGGCCCATGTGCTTCAGCGCTCCAAGCTCCACCAACCTATGTAAGCCGGAACATGTAAAAGTATTTTCCGATCAACATTTTATACTGTTTATTTGCTAAATATTCTTGCTGATAGCGTAAATTGTTCTGAGAAGAAAACGACTCGATCGCTGGGGACAAAACGTTTATTCGCCTGACGTTTCAGGATCCGTCGCGGATTCATCATCAAAGACACTAGCAGAAAACAGTAGCAGAAACGGACCCGTCTTCTTCTCAATTACTTCCTGGCACTCGCATGTTCGCTTGTATTGGTAAATTGTTCTGTTACACTGCGGTGCTAATGTCAACATCGCTAGGTGTTTCACGAAAAAAGATATGCAACGGTTCAAGCAAAAATATTATGATACTTGAACGTGTTCAGGCAGCTTTACGAATTAAAAACCAAATTAGATTTATATCTGAAGTACCACCTTGTGTTTTAGCAGTGCATGCTTCTTTCTTCTAATAACAACCACAGAATGAGGTAACCTACTTAAGTTCCATCCTTTCATCAATAAATCGTGCCCAGTTTGGCCCGTAAGGGTGCTTTTTATTACCCAGCCTGAATTAATTCTTTGCCGAAATCTAGACGGAAAAGAAAATTCTCACTGCTTTTCAGAAATGAGCCAAGGTGGCTAGGAGGAGATTTCAGGTCATGTGACGATCTCTGATGATGCGTCTAAGCAAGAGTCCGAAACTTCCTGTCAATCAATTCCTAGTGATCGCACCTTCTTCGTCCGAACTGTTACAGACATTCTAATTACACTAGAAGGTTGGGTAAAGCCGGTCAACAAATGATGCCCGTATAACTGAAAATATGAAACCAAATGGGCACGAGGGACTGTTATCCTCTCTCCCAATACACTCTTTACCGCTCTGACATATTTTGCGGTATCCTAGTAACAAGATTAAATTAATCGGGTAAGATATTACTGCCTTATGGAGAAGAACGGCGCAGTGAATCCGATATGTTGAGAGCCCTTTGACCCTTAATCAAAGAAACATTTAGGTATCCCAAAGAAAGCAGACACTATATTTTTTACCTTGTGACAGCGGTCCGCACAAAGAGTGGGTTAACATTTTTGATGACCCGGCCATGACTTGTGACAAAACGGTAGCGCATGTCAAGCGCTTGATATTTTTGGTTTCTTTCCCTCCTTCTGCCTTGGCCCCCGTACAGACCTCGGACCCCACAGTAAAGGGCAAGCGGCTGGAGGTGTGGGAGCTGAGGCCGAAGTGGGAGCCCTACAACCCTCTCCTGGTCCAGCCCTTCATTGAGAAATCCCTGCTGGCAAGGGAGGCTACCTCCCAGCTAGGTGGCAACACCAGTGACAGCAACATCATTCCAGACGCGTACTACGAGGACTTCGGCGCTCAGCAGCCGGAGGTTGAGGCCAACGCGGAGACGGCACGACCACCCTACGGCGATGCTGCCCAGGAGTTTGACAAACGTAGCAACCTCCTGGCTGTCACCGAAGTGCCCAGAGTGGCCGGACGAGTGGGTACCACCCTCTACATCACTGGCCGCTTCCGTGAATGGGTCGCCTATCGCAACCGGCACCCCATGTTGCCCCGGTTGATCCGCACGATTCTGATCGTCTGTCTGGAGTGTGACCCAGATGTGGATCCCATCGACACACGCAAGGTGAGCGGTAGTGGTCGTGGAAGAAACATCCTGGGAGATTTTGTACTCAATTATGCCCTGGGTGTTTGTACCTCACCTCTTAACACATCAGTCTGTAAGGAGAATATTCTGCGTTGTATGAGTATTTAACTATGATGGGTAAAAAGGATTGCTAAAACAACGTGCGCATATTAAATGTGTTGCTGTTACTGGAGCTTTTTACCGCTTTGGCAATAGCCATGTGTAAATGCAGACTTAAAAATACGAGCTTAGCCCTTTTTTATTTTTTAAGTCGGCTGAAGTACAAATGCTTGAGTTGGTTTCAGTTCAAGGAGAAACTGTAGCTTCAAACTAATTCCTTTATATTGTATAGTGGGGGCTGTGTAATAGACAATAAGTAAAAAATAAGACCAGTTATTGTTACCGGTGGCCACAAACAGTACATTAAATTCAGTTAGCTCAGCTTTGTTTAATAACAAAGTATGTTCTATACAGAAGTGTGACTAAGGGGCCATTCTCTTCAAAATAACTGTCGTGAATTTCCAAGAGAAGTTTATTCTCCAACTGCCGGACTTCATTCATCGTGCCTTTTCTAGATACAAAACACATTGTCATCAAACACTGGGCATGTGTAAATTCACACAGTTATCTTAATGATCATAATAATCTCTTCTCCACGTTTCCCTATCACAAAATACCATCCGATGCACAGAAACTGTCAGTGATTGGACGCATGACGTATTAGCTAGAATTCTGAACTGTGTTTCCGATTAGTAGAGATTAATTCTATCGTACATCATAATCTCGAGATATTTCGGTTACCTTAGGATGCCGAATTCTGGGGGCACTTTTCTTCGGCCACCCGCAAATGTAAATCAGTAAGACATATTACTTAATTAGTATGACTCGTGGTGTTCCTATAAATACAAATACATGTACACCCCTCTTTGCCATAGTTTGGTAAGTAATTACAACCTAGTTCAACGCTATACTCTAGCACAGGACCGTGAGATGCCTACTTATTACGTGCAGAATGAAGCCAATATCCGTTACAAACCTGTATAAGTTCTACACTACACTTTTAAGTGGAATTGACTTTTTAAGTAGACAGTAGAAAGATAGTAGTATGGAAATTTCAAATACAAATGCAAGGGCAGATCGGACTCAAGATTATTCTGAAATTGAGGACGTTTGTAACGCTTAACGTACCATTCCTTCGAGTGCGCAGTTAGAAGAGTATGTACTTTCTAAACTAGAAGATTTAATTTTTATCGAGTCTGACCTCTAGAGAGGTCCCAGCTTCCTTTCAAATACCTACAAAAATAATTTTCTGTATTTTTTATAACATATTTTAAATTTCAAGGATATATAAAAGCAATTTAAAAGAGACATACTACGTACGGAAGATTTTTTCCATATGATTTTTACAGACGGTTAGAGGGAAATCAGTTCACAGGTAAGCATCCTGAATTTTCTGAAATTTCATGGAATTATGTAGCAATATAAATATAATTACAATCCTATTTACGTACGCTAGTCAAAGGGAGATTAAATTTTAGGACTTCAGTTAACATTGCAGGAGTAAGAACATTGTAATTGTAATTGTAATTAAAAGCCACACAAAATCTAAAATATAACAAGCTCTCCAAAATACCACCTCCTCCACCAAAGGAAATCTAGCCACTTACTGGTTTCGAAATTAAATGGAATTATGACATCTGTAGACGTTTAATTCCCCTAATTCGAGGCATCCCCAAGAATGCGTTTTATAGCTCCTTTTCGTGGAATGCATCGAACAATTTCCTCTTGAAAAAAGTTTCTCGATAAATTTAACCATCCAACTGGGTGTGACCGGTCATATTATTCAGACAATTTAAGCGTTTTTAAGCGAATAAATTAGGCAGCTGATGGCAGCTGACGTAGCCCACGAAAATGTTACAACATTCACGCAGAAGTCGCTGTGACGCAAAAAAGAACCGTCTATTCCGTGTTGCTGCAAGCTTTCTTACGTCAAAGAACTGACCCTTCATCCAGGGATGGCGAAAAATGATCTATAGGCTCATATTTAATGAATGACAAATCTTTTTTTACTAAGGGAAAAAGCAGTCAAAAACGGATATACAGTACAAGTTATTTAGAGGTGAACGAATATAATAGAAGGTAACGAGGGCAACTACATTGAAAGAAGAAAATTATAATATCACATAGGAAGTATTTGTATCCAGTTGTTAGACTGCAACATTGTAACAATACTGTCAAACAGAGAAGCTACTAAGAAACCATTAACTCAGAAGAAGAACAAGAATATTTGATCGCTGGAACACGTTTCTGATTC